CATGAGTACAGCACTGACTGTCATCATACGTATGGAAGCAAAAACTCGCATGGACTATACCTTCATAATCCTCACGGCACAAGGCATGTGAACCACATGCTAGTTGAATCTCCAGCGGGTCATCACAAAACGGCATGGAGCATCTTTCTTGGGCTTCCTCAGTATGTATTCCTTCTCTATGGGCAGACGGCGACAGGGAGGATCGGTCCAACGCAAGGGCATTCAGCTGCTGCAGGATATGATCCGCAACAGCTCGCCCTGGTGGTGATAAACTATGAGCACATCGCTCTGCCGGTGGTTCATATAGAAGTCTATTTTCCTCCTCGGACTGCTGTGTTCCTCGTTCGTCTGGCATGAAAGAGGGAGATCCGTCAGCGGTTGCCGTAGGTGTATGACCAATACCGCATGTGGGACATGCTAGGAGAGGATGTGGAGGGTGATGGCACCGGGGATAGTCCACGCAGTAAAGACACATACTTTCTATGACAGCTTCCTGGAATCATCGACAACACGTGTGTGTGTGTATGGGGCATCCAGGGAGATCCAGAGTGCGTGCGTGTGTGTGAACAAGTTGCAGGTGAATACAGTTGGTCGGGTGTGTACCTTTGTTGGTGCAGGGGCACCATAGCCGTACAAGACAAGTTTGAATCTGAACTGTGTTCCGGGCTACGTTATCTCTGAGCTTTGTGTGGGCACCAGTCGCCAGGTTTGATCATCATCTGTTTGCACGCATGCTGAGTGTGTCAAAGACAAGTCTGATTGCACTGGTATCAGAGCTGTGCAATCAGACTCGCTTTCTTTCCACTTCGCATACATGCATACAGATGGCGATTCACACTGGCGCAGTGCGCCCACTCAAAGCTCAGAGATATGGAAAACGAGAACACAGTTCAGATGCAAAATCACTTCGACAAACTATGGCGCTTCAGCGCCTGCACACTCAACTCTCGTTACTGTGTCCAACACCGCCCTTCGCACATACTCAACTCCGGATCACCCTGAATACCACCACACACACACACTAAACCTATCTTCTTCCTATCGCGGATATGGCCGCTCTACCACTACTGGCTATGGCTACGATCTCGCTCTTCAGCCCACTTCGACTTTGGGAAACCTGCAGACCACCTTCGCACAAGACGCTGTAGCAGCGCTTCCGCATGGCTTACGCAGCGAATGAACAATGGTTGGGCGCTGCCTCTTGATTTATACTTCTGTAAGTCGTTGGTCTGCCCTTTTCCACCGGGCCCACGTGCACAGTCCCTCATGGTACTTGCTGACGGTGCAAAGTGAGACTGGGACTGGGTACCACTGACTAAGCGAAGTTGGACTCACCACTTGCCCACTTGCCTCTGGCCTACAACAACATGTCTACCATCCTAAACTGCGATATTGAGTCATCCGTTCTAGACTCCTTCCTCCTCAGGAAAGTAAGAACTCTGGGTACATGGCCAAAATCAATCTTTAGACCGGACACAGCAATCCGATTCCTGGACTTTGACCCGGCGGAATGGGCCTGGTCATCCAACACTTCCAGGAACATCAAGACAAAAATCCCAATACAGGATTATACAGTCAAACTGGGCTACAAACTAACTCTGATAACTAAAGATCCTGACCCGATCATCAAAAACAGATGGAGGAACTTAATAGGTCAGGAAGCAGATAAAATCACCCAAATCCATTGGGATAAGTTTAAACGTATCAGACCAGTCAAGATCAGAAGTCTGCAGTGGTTAATTATTTATGCAGCACTACCGGTGAACCAATGGCTACATACCAGACGTAAAGCCTCAGACCCGGATAGCTCAGAGCAATGTACAGTCTGCAAGGAAGGAGCAGTAGAAGACATAGTTCACTGCCTACTCCGGTGTAAAGAAGCAACAGAATACTGGAAGAGAGCCTCATCACTCTGGGATTCCCTCTTCTCATCGCCCTTTCCCAACCACCCCATCCAACTACTACTCTTAACTAACACCCCCGTCCAAGCACGATTGACAGAAAGGATCTGGTTTGAACTCATCAGGAAAACGACATTATGGGTCATATGGAAGGAGAGTTGCGGCAGAGCAATTGAAGGACACTCCAATCCAAGGGAGAAGGTTTGGATAGAAACCAGAACGACGATTCAAGCTGAGATTCTTTGCAGATGGCGGAAGGTTACACAAAGGGGGATAGAAGACGAAGAACAGCGGAGAAAGGTGAGGCTGAGTTTTTGCAAAAATTGGCTGGTCAATGGCAATATTGCAGAACTGCGAGAAGATCGGCTTTGCTGGAAGGAATGGCACAACTCAATTCCGGAAAGGGCCTCTCAACAACAGGCGGCATCTGAAGCCCTAGTCACGACGTAAGATGCAAAGTATCAAGCAAGGACCAAGATACTCTGGAAAAAAAGAGGACAATGTTTGGTGATCACGAACAGACTGCTATTCTCGTCCAAATTCCCTAACGGTCCATTGCAGGGCAGACGCCCAGGAGGAGGATTCAGGGATTAAGGCTGATYTACAGTACACGCAAGGGTTCAGGAAGACAAGGAAAGGATTCAGGTTGTCTAGTCTTTTTTTGGGGGGTCTCTTTCTAGATATAACGTTGATCTGACAGATCCGAACAATCGGGTCTGAGAGGAGAGAGAAGGTTAGGGCAAGCTGACAGTCAATCCTCCACCACACTGGAGTAATAAATGCTGATCAGGGGTCCTTCGGCCAGACGGAAGGAAGCGTGTGTGAGTTCCTATTGATGTAATTTTTTATATGACTTGGCGGTGGAAAAGGAACCGGACTGACGCTCCCCAGAATAGAAGGAGCCAGGACCGGGGGGCGAAAAAACGTGAGACGAAACTTGAAAGGCCACTTCCGGACCTTCCGGAAGTCTGTGGACTTGGCCTTTCGAGTACTGTAGCAGCTACGACCTTGACCTTTCAGAACTGTAGCAGCTTCGACCTTGACCTCTCAGAACACCTACAGCTACGACCTCTACAGAGCTGTGACCCCTACTCGACAGACCTACAGATCGAACCCCTACAACTACACAGACCTACGACAGACAACAACCAACTACCAAAACACAGGTCACGGGTTCAAACACTCAGGGGTCAACTCGACACTGTACATGGGCAAGGTAAGGTCTGGGGATCGAACTCTAAGGCCCGCATCTGTGACTGCAGAACGGTGAAAACCGTTTCACTCCCGCCAGCCTAAATTTGAGGTCCTCCGAGAATATTTCAGTCTAAGGCAGGACCTTCACCCTTCTTATATCTTTCGTAGGCTCGGACTATATCGGGAGCTGTCTCTAGAAGTTCTGTTCGCGTGAACCAGCGGTCGTCTTCTGGCTCTTGAAAGGAAAATCTGACTTTGTCCTGTTTTTGTGGACGACCTCTACCTCCTGTCCTAAAGACGTCCTCACCTACTATACCATCAATGTCATATCTTCCATCCATATCTGGAGGAATCATAGATCTCCGTGATGGAAACTGTTGACTTGTGATGCAAGGCAACAACTTTGACGCATGGAACACTGGGTAGGCGTGGAGGTGTGCTGGAATCTCAATAGCGTAGGACGGTCCGTCCTCTCCGCCCTTGACTTCTAAGACTGGCCACGGTCCTCTATACGCAGGCAGGAACTTCTGTGAGATGTTCTCCTCAGGGGCGAACTCCTTTGACTTGACCCAGACTAAGTCGCCTACTTGAAACTGTGAGGGGCAACGGTGCTTGTTAGCTTGCTCTATCATTCTGTGTTGGGGTTTCTTGAGGTTATCTACAACGGTAGCTATCTCTTTCTCGTGCTGTATCGCAAACTCTCGTGTACCGGGAGGTAGCCTCTAAATCTGATCCCGGTTAAGTCCCTCAAATGGTATGCGCGGTCTAAAGGACTTGTGCAGTTCATTGGGAGTGCGACATGTGGCTAAGTGCACGTTGTTATTGCATGCACTGGCTACCTTTGGAAGCATCTCATCCCAATTGATCTGATCGGGCTTAATGTACATTCTAAAAACTTGCTGCAGGAGCTTGTTCATCTGTTCAGTCTGACCATTAGTCTCAGGATGGCGGCCAGACCACATCAACAACTTGGAACCATAGACTCTCATTAGTTCCTGCCAGTTCTGACTAGTGAACCTGGTGTCTCTGTCACTAACTATAGACAGCGGTATACCATGCTCACTGACCCAATGGTCAAAGAACTTTTGAACTACTACATTTGTGCATGCCTCTGAGGGCAAAGAGATGAAAACTGCATACTTGCTAAACCTATCAACTATGACCATGACTTGACCTTTGCCATGCCTACTCTTGACCTGAGAATCCATAAAGTCAATGGACACAGAATCTCCGGGTCTGTCAGGAATAGGCAAGGGTATGAGAAGACCAAGAGGGGCTCGCGTAGTAGTTTTGTTTCTCTGACAGACTTTACAACTGCGTGCATACTCTATGCAGTTGGCCTTCATACCGAGCCATATATATGCGCGCATGAGGTTAGCTAGTGTCTTTTGCCAACCAAAATGTCCCTTTGTGTCGTGGCATTCCCCTAAGATCAAACTACGGATCTCTTCACTGTCAGGAACGCACAGACGGTCAGCTACATTAGTCTTCTCAAATAGTAATCCATCAGTAATGCGGTAGTCTGGTTCGGATTCTGGGGACTCCCTAACTATCTTAAGGAGGTCACTATAGATAGGGTCCTGTGCGTACGCTTCTCTAACTTCTGTTGCAGGTCTCTCCCTATATCCAGATAGTGAACTATCGCCCCAAAGTAATCAGCTTTCCTACTTAGAGCATCCACATTACGTTATACTTCCCTTTGAATAGCTTAAGTTCGAAGTCATACTGATCTAACTCGGCGGCCCACCTAGTAAGCTTAGGTGTCATCTTGGCCTGTGTCTTCAACCACCTTAGTGTCTCGTGGTCTTAATAGACTTTCAAGTGCCTCCCAAGCAAGTAATGTTTCCAGTGCTCTAGTGCTTGCCTGAGAGCGTAGAGTTCCCTCTCATAGGTGGATGTCGCTACCTTCTCTGAAGGCATCCTGGCAGCATGAACTCTACGGGCCTATATCCATTGCCATCGTCTTGCTGTAAAACAACATTTATGTCATACTGACTCGCGTCGGTGGTAACAACGAAATGCGGGGACAGATCGGCTACCTTAAGGACTGGGTACTCTATCAAAGCCCGCTTTAACTTCTTCAGGGCTGATGTACAGTCCTTGTCCCACTTCAAGATTGCTTCTATCTTTAGCAACCTGCGAAGGTGTGCAGCGATGATGGAGAAGTTCCAGACGAACTTCCTATAATAGTTAGCTAGGCCTAAGAATGACCGCAACTCTGTCAGCATGCGGGGCATTGAACAATCTCTAATCACTGCTATATTGCTGTCTTCAGGTGTTATGTCGTCTTTGTCTAAGACGAGGCCCAAGTACAAAACTTGTGTCTTGGCCCATTCGCACTTTTGTGCGTTGATCTTAAAGTTAACTTCTCTAAGCTTCTCCAAGACCTGCCTCAGATGACCCCCATGCTCCTGGAGGGTCTTACTAAAAACTAGAATGTCGTCTAAGTGCACTACCATAAATTTGTCTAACCACAGCCTAAGCAAATCATTCATACAGCGCTGGAATGTTGCTGGCGCATTGGTTATAAACTCGTAGTGCCCATATCGCGTCCGGAACGTCGTCTTATACTGGTCATCAGGATGGACCTCTATCTGATGATACCCAGATTTCAAATCTATCTTCGAGAAATACTTGCAGCCCTGCACCTGATCCAACAGATCATCTATGTGAGGCAGTGGTTCTGCATTCTTTACTTTGACGACGTTGAGACCTCTATAGTCTATGCACATCCTGAGCTCTCCCTCCTTGGGGACAAAAAGAACAGGTGCTCCAAATGGAGATGAACGCGGCCTAATCCAACCCTTCTCGAGGAGCTTGTCCAGCTGCTTGCGCAACTCCTCTAACTCCCTCAGGGACATCCTATACACAACACCCTTAGGAATCCTACTGCCAGGCTCTATCTCTATGCGATGATGGATTGGCCGCGACACTACTCCTGTCGGCGGCTTAGCTAAGTCTGTAAACTCCTCCAGCAACTTGGCAATAGCAAGGTCTATGGGTCTCTCCTCCTTAGGCTCAATGACCGGCCTTACATAAGCTACTTCACTAAACGCGCGAACGTGGGAGCACTGAGACAGCAATGTGCCAGACTGTTGTCTACTCCTGACACATGAAACAGGCGAGCAGTCTTAACTTCACATGTGGGACTAGGAAGCCTACACTCATGCTCTCTCAAATGGGGTGTGGCCCCTGCTGCCTCTCCCCAGTCCATTCCTAGGACTATATCGAAAGGAAGACTATCCTCTACGAGGAGAGTCAGGGAATGGAGGACTTTCTCCACCTTCCCATCTTTCTCTAGGCGAAAGTACGCCTGGACTCCCTCAACATAATCCTCGATTCGCATAGTGCGATTGTCTGCGAGGATACTGACTTTAGGGTCACTTTCAGACTTTCAAATTCAGCTTTAACTTCTGCAACACTTTTATACTGATATAGCTGCGGGTGGCCCCACTGTCTATAAGGGCCCCTACTCTACCTCTAAAAACCTCTAGAGAGACTGTAACACAAGCAGTCTCTGGACAGCTATCTAGGTACTGGCCAGCAATCTAGGTACTGGCCAGCAATCTCGGTATGAAGGCCAACAACATCCTTCTTCATCTTGGCCCAGGTGGGCATCCTCTCCTTCAACTCTTCAGCCACGCCTGTGAGGGAAGTACCTAGAGAGACTGTAACACAAGCAGTCTCTGGACAGCTATCTAGGTACTGGCCAGCAACCTTTGCCGCAGGCTCATGTGGTTTGGGAGTTCCTCTGTGGTGTGCGCACTCTTCTCCACATGGCCTAGGGGTAAGGGCAGTTGCAACCCCTACCGGCGGTTGCCTTCTGCTGCTTGTGCAGCATAACGGGCTTCTCTATACTTTGGACAATATTTAATTATGTGGCCAGGGTCACCGCAATAAATGCATTGATCCTGGTCCACGTGACGCTGCCACACTGATTGGTCCAAGCCCAAATCTTCCCATGGCCTGCCCGGTGGCAAACCAGAATGCCATCCACCTCTTCTTGGAGGTGACCGATAGGACCGCGAACGATTTGGCGGGGGACCTTGACCCCTACCTCCCTCTTGGTGGTTTCCTCTGCCGCCAACCCCATGAGCGCCCTGTCCTCGGCCACCTGAGGCTCGGCCCCCTTGGCCCTGGCCTCCTCCTTTTCCTTGCGGCCTCCCTCCAGCCGCGACAGCAGCGTAGGTCCTCCCCTGAACCCCACTACTATCCTCTTCCTCCAGGCCCCACTCAATCTGACTGTATGGGACCTCATCCATACCACCTTCATCTAAAGTAAGGATCAGATGATCCTTGGCCCTAACTTGACCAGAAATGGTACGGCCTTTCCACTTTTTGCCCTTCTCTAAGTCCTTGTGCCAGAAAGTGGAAATTGGCATGGATTGTGCTTCGAACAACACCACCTCTCTATTCAACGTACCGTAAGTCATGGTGGGCTATCTACTCTTCTCGAAGAAGTGCCCACGCACGGGCTCTGGCATGGCACAATAAAATAAATTGACCAACTGGGTCTCAGTGACCCCGTGGTTTGGGACGGCTACCAACTCGTCCATTATGCCCTTGAGGGCTCTTGCACTCCTCCACTGGAATGAGTGGATGGTTTGCAGTTTGTCTAAGGCCCTTGCGCCTCGCGTGACATCTGCAAATCGCTCTCTAAGCACTCGGAAGAATTCAGGGAGAGGAATGATCTTGGAATAAGCTACCATATTATTTTCGCACTGTGCAATGTGATCGAGTGATCTGGCGAAGTTGGCTGCTTCGTCTTTGAGGGCCTGGAGCGCGATGAGGACTTGTTCCTCAGCTACGATCTTCTGCAAATACACGTATATATTCACATTTGCCTCCCAGTTATCAAAATTTTCTTCGGTCTTCCCACTATAGGGTTCAGGAAACTTAATCTTTACGGACTCTCTATGAGGGCGAACCTCCTCCTCCTTTGGAGCGGCCAGCTTTGCGCCCTCAATGGCGCCTGTGCAGAATTTCTCCGTGCCCTCTATCCTCGCCTGCATCTCTGCACCTACGGTCATCATCATCTCACGTGCGAAATCCTTGAAACCCAGGCTAATGGAATGTAAGGCGATATCCTGGGCTCTAGCGAACTGATGTTGCTCGTCCCAAGCTTTAGCTAGAAGTTCTATATTTCGGGAAATAATATCAAATTTACCCTGTAAATCTACTTGAGCCTGAATCTGCTCCCTCTGCTGCTTAATCACCTCCAACTCCTTCGCCATCTTATTCGCCTCGCCCTCCTCTTCTTCTATCGGGTGAGACGCAACTTCCACTGCAACTTTTTTTCCTCCTCTATACTCTGGCGTCTCAAAGGGTCCTCTTCCGCCTCCAACTCCTTCACTACTTCCTCCTGCTCTTCCCTTGGAATATACAGCATGGCTTCTTCTTCTTTCCGCGGGGATAACTTTGTTACCCACTCAGAAACTTTCTTCTCTAGCCATGACTCCTCTTTCTTCATTCTGCTGGATTCTCCTCTATGCCCTGCGCTTCTTCTTATCAGCGGCTCCTCCTCCTTCTCCTCTTATATCTCTTCCTCGTCCACTGCTTTCATTTTCTCTTCCTCCTCCTCCTCCAATCTCTCCATTTCCTCCTCCAACTTCGTCCTCTTCGCCGCCTGCTCCTCCTATAAGGCCAACTACTTGACCTATCTAATCAACTCCTTCTTGGCCTCCTTTTCTTTTCTCTCYTGAAGTACGGCGGCGGCTTGCTCTTCCTGAGCTTTCATGTAAGTGGTGGTACTCTTTCCACTACGTAGGTCAACCATGGTGAAAGGTGCACAACCCAAAATCAGTTCCACTCCTCACCACTTAGACTCACACCCCTGACTGACTTAACTTAAGACTGACTCAACTAAGGACCACAAAATCTTTGTAAGTTCCTGTCAACTACGGTCTCTAGCCTAGACCTAAACTAAGGCTGTCACTACAGGACTTATTGCTGATCAGGAGGCATTTAAGGAGATCCCCCGCCTAGACCTAAACTAAGGCTGTCACTACAGGACTTATTGCTGATCAGGAGGCATTTAAGGAGATCCCCCGTAACTCCTCAGGAATTCTTTAACGTCGCAAACAAGACGACGTGATCAGCAAGTCCTCTCAAGACTTAGACAGCTCGTTGTGCAGCCCACAACTCAGATTTTGGGCCTGCCATGCCACAGTAAGCAGCCCGCCGGACTGTACCGGTCCTTGGGAGGGTTCGTGTCCTCCGGGTCAGTCAAGTCGTTAGACATGACCTTCAGCCCTACTAAGCCCATTTGGGTTTGGTCAAAAAAGCTCTATGACCTCATTCACAGAGTTCCTACCACCTGGACAAAAGAGACTCGATGCAAAAAGAAGAGACAGACAGACTCAGCAAGTACCATGGGGTGAGTGCACATCCATAAGGCGAGGGGATAGGCTGAAGGCTTGGCGAGAATATACCAACTCCAGCTTGGTCAAATTTGTGGTCAACAGCTCTGGTCAACGCCTTGGTCAACGCCTTGGTCAACGTCGGTCAAACCCTCGATCAACACTCTGGTCAACCTTGGTCAACACTTTGGTCAACGCTTGAGTCAACACCCAAATCAACTTCGATCAACCCCTTGGTCAATGCGTTGGTCAACCCTCAACTTAGCTATGGTTGCCGACACTTTCTCTTTCTCGCACCCTCGCTTCTCTTTCTCCCTCCTTTCTTCTTCCTCACTTCTTTCTCTCTTCACCCCGACTATATCTTCCTTCTTCTCCTCCGTCCCTCCTTCCTTCTTCCTTAGCTATGGTTTCTCTCTCCTTCGTCTCTCCTCCCTTCTCCTTCGCTTCACCTTCCTCTCTCTTGGCAACCCTGTGTCCGAGCTCCGATGCTATGGCCGCCTTCTCTCTTAGTCCGCACAACAATCTTGTATCGCTCCTCTCTCTCTCTCTCTCTCTCTCTCTCTCTCTCTCTCTCTCTCTCTCTCTCTCTCTCTCTCTCTNCTCTCTCTCTCTCTCTCTCTCTCTCTCTCTCTCTCTCTCTCTCTCTCTCTCTCTCTCTCTCTCTCTCTTCGTCGTTGCATTCTGTGCAGGTACACGGCACCTTCTCTCCGCAGCGCAACTATGGCGGACTTCCCTCCTTCGGTGCACCTCGGCTATGGCGCCTATCCTGGCGCTCGTCTCCTTCCCCGTTGGCAACGACGACGCGTGGGGTAACGGGAACCAGCTCTGATACCAATGCAATCAGACTCGCTTTCTTTTCCACGTCGCACACCTGCATAAAGATGGCGATTCACACAGGCGCAGTGCGCCCACTCAAAGCTCAAAGATATGGAAAACGAGAACACAGTTCAGATGCGAAATCACTTCTCGACAAACTATGGCGCTTCAGCGCCTGCACACTCAACTCTCGTCACTGTGTCCAACACCAATACTCAACTCTTGATCACCCTGAATACCACCACACAAACACACACTAAACCTATCTTCTTCCTATCGCGGCTATGGCCGCTCTACAACTACTAGCTATGGCTACGATCTCGCTCTTCAACCCACTTCGACTTCGGGCAACCTGCAGACCACCTTCGCACAAGATGCTGTAGCAGCGCTTCCGCATGGCTTACGCAGTGAATGAATAATGGATGGGCGCTGCCTCTTGACTTATACGTATGTAAGTCGTTGGTCTGCCCTTTTCCACCGGGTCATTGGTCTGCCCTATTCCACCGGGCCAAGGTGCACACAGTCCCTCATGGTACTTGTTCACGGTGCAAAGAAGAAGGCCGCCCGGAAGAAAGGAGGTCCACCGCGATCGAAGAAGAAGATCGCCGCACCAATGAGGGGGGACCGCTGCCACGAGGAAGACCCGACGCCAAGCCAGAGAAAAGCGGCCATAGCCGCCGAGCTGAGGAGGAAGACGACAACGACGAAGAGAGAGAGAGAGAGAGAGAGTCGCATACTGTAAAAGTGCAGACCATAACAAGAACCGACCTCTCTCACACAGTACAAGATAGCGCAGTGGAAGGCTAATATGAAAAATGATCCGAACAATATGTCGCAATGCAGACCAAACCTACTTCATCATCATTCCATGGTGTGAAGGAGCCTGGCGCTCACACAGGAAGAATGCGCCAGTCCCCAACCAAACACATACGAAGAGGGGGGGGTAGACGAAGAAGTTGGGAAGATGGGAATGTCGTCAACATCAAGTCTTCGGTAGAGGTCCCAAATAATCCCTCGTCCAATGTCTCAATCCCAATGTCGAGCCTGAATCCAAATGTCGTCAAGTCCCAAAGTCACCAATCTCTCTCTCTCGTAGTCTGCAGATACTGAGAAGTCAAGTAGCGAGAGGGTGAGGGAGAGATGGTGGACTTAGAAGAGGAAGAAGAATAACTCTCCCTCTCTCTCTCAGTCCGGTACTAACCTGTGAAGGTGGCGCCTTGTTGCAGGCACATCGAAGACGAAGCTGGAGCTATGGCGCCACAGGTAAGTCTCCCTGGCGTCCACCAACCATCTCTCTCTCTCCAACGCTACTCTAGCTCCTAATAGCGCCCAGCGCTGAAGACTACTGCTAACGCTTCTACTACTACTGCAACGCTCCTCCAGAGTGCTGCTGCCGAATCCTGAAGACTGCCTCCTGCCTCCTGCACGAAGTGCTTGGAAAGTCCCTATGAACTACCCCGTGACTCCCTGCAGCCTGTAGGGCGGGCCAGTCTTATATAGTGCTGGCCCGTCCAGGAGGCTGCTCTTGCCAATGCCAAAACGTGCCAGACCCTGGCGTTGAAGTTCAAACAAAGGTTGTCTTGAAAACAAGCCCAAAATGGTCTGTGCTAAAACACTGGTCTGGTGCCTAAGTTTCAGGGTAGGTCGACTTTATGAGGGCCTGAAAATGGCCCTCATTTTTTGAGTCGTTTTCACGCTCTTAGGCTGAAACGACACAGGGCCTGTAGGCCCTTGTTTTCAGGCTTTTAGGCTGAAACTACACAGGACCTGTAGGCCCTCGTTTTCAGGCTTTTACGCTGAAACGACGTAGGGCCTATCGGCCCTTGTTTTCAGGCTTTTAGGCTGAAACGACAAAGGGCCTTTAGGGCTTAGAATTTTCGTTTGGTCGGGCCTTGCAGGCCCGTGTGGCTGCACAGTATGCCACAGAGAGAGAGAGAGAGAGAGAGAGAGAGAGATGGTTGCGTTAGCCTTGACGAAGAAAGTGGCGGCCATAACCGCCGCGCTAGGACCTGGCAAAAAAGAAGGAGACCGAGAAAGAGGAAGGAGAGAGGAAGGAGAAAGAAAGGAAGCGATAGCCAGGGTGGTCGAAGAAGAAGGCAGAAGGGGGAACGAGAGAGGAGGTTGACGAGAGAGAAAGGTCGGCAGCCGTAGCCGGAGGTCAAAGAGTTAATCGGCGAAGTTGAGCAGGCATTGACCAAGTTTGACTGGTGGTTTCGCCAAGTTGACTAGCGTTGACCGAGGCATTGACCAAGGCCGTTGACCGAGACTTTGACCAAGCTGGAGTTGGTATAACTCACCAAGCCTTGAGCATGCCCCCTTGCCCTGTGGATATGCACTACCCCTTGGTACTTGCTGAGTCAGTTTGTCTCTTCTTTCTGCATTGAGTCACTTATGTCCAGGTGGTAGAACTTTGTGCATGTGGTCGTAGAGCTGTGGTGACCAAACCTGCACGGGCTGAGTAGGGCTAAAACCCATGTATTACGATTGACACGTCCCGGGGACAAGACCCCCAAGGACCGATACAAACCGGCGGGCTGCTCAGTGTGGCATGGTAGGCGTGAAATCCGAGCTATAGGCTGCACATCCAGCTATCTAAGCATTGAGAGGACTCTGCTGATCACGTAGTCCTGACTGCGACGTTAAAGAATTTCTGAGGACTTATGGGGGATCTCCTTAAATGCCTCTTGATCAGCAGTAGAGTCCTGTAGTGACAGCTGTATAAGTAGAAGTAAGAAGAGTCAGTCAATCAGTCAGTCAGTGGGGGGGCATTGGTCTTAGTGGTGAGGAGTGGAACTGCTATCAGTTGTTCACCTTACACCATGGTGACTACCAGGTCAGGAACTGACACCACCCCCTATAGTAAGGCCCAACAGGAGAGAGTCGTCGCCATTCTAAAAGAGAGAAAGGAGAAGATGGAGAAAAGGGAGCTTATTAAGCAAGCAAAGATGTTGGCCTTGATGGAAGAACAAGAGGCGAAGAAGAAGCAAATGGAGGAGTTGGAAAGATGGAATAAAGAACAGGAGGAGAAGTTGGCGGCAGTAGAAGCAGAAGTAGAAGAAGAAGGAGAAGAAGAAGGAGAAGAAGAGGAGGAGGTTCCCCTGTTAAGGAATGTAAGAAGATAAGGAATCAAGTGGGGCACGAGAGAGAGACACAAAGATGGAGAAGATGGTGACAGAGTGGGTGGCCA